TTATATTCTAAATTGATCCATGTCTCTCTTGCACTCTCTTTGTCTTGAATACTAGAGTTTCATAATAACTTCAAAATGGCAGGTTTTCCAACAGTCTTTTAAAAATATTTAAATTAAACAATTGTTATAGCTTGGTGGTAGTGCAAGCCTTTAATCCCAGCACTTGGGAGGCAAAGACAGGTGGTTCTCTAAGAGTTTGAGGCCAGCCTGGTATACACATTGGGTTCCAGGACAGCTAGGGATACATAGAAAAACCCTGTCTCAAAAACAAACAAACAACCAAAAAATAAAATAAAATAAACTGTAGTGACATTACTTCTTTTCCCTGCCCCTCCAATCTCTTCCATGACCCTTCAAACCCATTTCCTATCAAATTCATGGCCTCTTATTATGTAGTTAGTATAACATGCTAAGGTCATTTGGTTTTGCTTGTATGTGTATATTTTGAGTGAACACTTGGTATTGGAAAACCAGTTAGGGGGCTGCTGCTAAAACTTATTCCAAGGAGGAGACAGAAGTGATGTCTACCCGTTTCCTAAGATCCCAAAGGAAAACCAAGGCACAGTCCTGCCAATGTACACTTAGGCTCCATCCCTGCTCTTTAGTTCCTACGTTCTTTTTGTCCCTGTCTTCTGCAGGGGTCCCTGAGCCACGGGTGGGGTGGCATAGATGAGTGACAATGTTTCTCCTGCTTCCTCGAGGGGCCACATCCTCAAGCCTTTCTCCTCACTCCTCCATCTCCAGAACATTGGTGTTTCTCCTACTACAAACAGAAGCGAGGAACAGGACAAGCAGCAGGAAACGGGACAGTATTCAAGCAGACACAGACTTCAGCAACAGCCCTGACTGTAAACACAGATGTGGAGAGGCGCTTTAGCTTAGCCAGGCGACAGCCCTTGCTTCTCCCTGGAGCCCACACTTCCCTGGTCAAGCCATCTAATTTCCCAGCACTGGATGTGAATTTCCACCTGTGACGGGCCTTGAGTCCAGAGAGCTGGTTCTGTCTGTAACCACTTGAGCCGTTACTGTGCTAGTTGGTGCCTGGCATTTCCACCAGGAAGCACACAGGAGCCACAGCTGAGGAGGACTTTGGGCTTAATTCTCCCCATCATTCTTAGTAGCCGCCACCTACCATACCTGGCTAGGTAAACTGTCTATACCTCTAGCACATTCATTCATTCATTCATTCATTCATTCATTCATTCATTCATTCATCCATTCATTCAGACAGGTGCTCTAACAGTCATGTTTCTTTTGGGGTGTTCCAGGAAGAAAGGAGTTTATTTCTTCTCACAAGTCTCAGATCACAGTTCATTATTAAGGGATCTCTCTCTCTCTTTCACACACACACACACACAATTAAAAATAGAGATGTGTATAATGTCACTTTCCTGTTTAGTCAGTGTATTTTCTTTACATGCTGCTCTAATCACTTAATCCCCCAAAGCCTTCTCAGCAGAGCTGCTGAAGCTGCCTGATGCCAGCCTCCAGGTCCTTGCTAACCGAGTCTTCCCTGAGTCTCTGGGAACACCATCCTCCCAGGCCCTGGGACCCAGGCATCACACATTGCTCCCCTCACACCTAGTTCCCTCGGTAGCGCCTGTCCCTCCTCCCCCGCCCTCCAGCCCCTGATACCTATAAGGACCTTAGCTGCCAGATGACCATCAGTAATGGCTTGTGTGAGACAGTCCACCAGGAACTGGTTCCCGTGTTCTGCCCCAGGCTACGATGCCTGTATCTCCAGGAGACATGCGTGGTTACGTCACTGCCTCTGCAGCACACAGACTGATCCTATCTGCCCTCCCGTCCCGTCACCGCACAGCCAGGCAGTGAGAGACTCTTTCATCACTTGTTTAGAGCTCTCCCTAACTGCAGCAATTCCAGCACCGGATATTCTCTGATTACCTTGGTCTCTCACACTAGACCGCTGTTAAGACCCCTGTCTGCGTGCTGGTTCCTGGATTTTCCCTTTCTCGATATCAGAGGTTGGACTCATGGGGTATCTTTTGTTGCTTCTGGGGCACCCCACCCTCATCACTACCTGACTCCTCCCATGAGTTGTAGATTTTAGGATTCCAGGAGGGGCTCTGTATTTCTGGTCTAATCTGGGCCCTCTGTCCCTTTTGGGGTCCTAGCTGTTAAACAAACAAACAATCAAACAAGCAGGCCTTAATTTACTCACTAAGGGGGAGGCTGGAGCCTGGCAGCCTCATACCCTTTCTCGAGCCTTTCCTTTCCTACACCAGAGGTGTCCCCAGCTGCCGCCTGTCTCAAAGAGATCTCTTTTTAGCCACAGCAGTGGCCAGGTGCCTCTGCAGCTGCTGGCCGACACCTGCAGCCACCACTGCGACTGACCCCCAGCTCGTCTCATCTGCTCTAGACATTCGACAGTTGTCCGGGTTGATTTTTTTGTCACCCGACACAAGCTGGAATTATCTAAGAAGGGGACCCTCAATTGAGAAAATTGCCTCCATCAGAATGTCGAGCCTGTAGTATATATTCGTGATGTGGGTGGGCCAAGCTCACTGGGGTCAATGTCGCCCTCGGCCTCAACCTTCCCAGCAGCTGGCACTTCAGATCTTCATCATATACCTGGCTTAGTTAAAAGTCTCTCTCTCTTTCTCTGTGTGTGTGTGTGTGTGTTAAATACATAGAAGTTCCTCTCTTAGCCATTTCACCTGTATAGTTTAGCCTATTTCATCTTACTTTTTGTAAAGCATTTTTGTCTCCAGATGAATAGAAATATGTGATTTTGTATATTGTATCATCTACTTTTAATAGTTCTAATTTTTTGTAGATTATTTGGTGTTATTAAGGTTCAGCTATAGTAATATATATTAGGCAATAGATATTTGAGTTAGCCAGGTTCCCATCATTATAAAAAATACCTGAGGTAAATCTATTTATAAAGAGAAAATGTTTTTCTTTGTTTAGAGATTTGACTAGCTGGCTGTTTTGCTTTTGGCCCGTGGTGAGGCAGAAGCCATTAGAGAGCAAACCATTTCCCTCATGGCTAAAGAGCAAAAGAGGAGAAGAGAAAGGGGCCAGGGTTTTGCAATTGCCTTTGAGGCCTTCAGTGACCCAAAAGTCTCTCCCACAAGGTTCCGTCTCTCAAGGGTTCTAGCACTTTTAACAGTGCCGCCCTGTCAAAAGTGAAACAATCCCTTGCCATGTGGGCCTTGGAGGGACACTGTACCAGTATCCTGCTTCAGTGTAGTCATGCCAGCTCTGCCCTGAGGGTGCAGACTCTCAGGAGGTTGGGCATTATCAAAGCCGTGGGGTGGGAAGGACACCCACAGCTCAAATTCTTACCGTTTTCACTGTGTACCAGCTGCAGTGCAGGGGGCTTCCACTCACCTTCCCACCCATGAGACTGAAGATGCTCCAACTAGTCAGGGGAACAGATTGGACAGAGTGAAAAATATATACACATGTGTGTACATGTGTGTATATATGTTTGTATCTATCTATATATGTATCGTACAGGCTGTAGATCAGCTAGTCAACAGTGGCTGTCCACTAACAAAGTCCAAGAGTCAAGTAGTTGTTCAGTCCATGAGGCTGGATGTCTCAGCTGGTCTTCAGTATATGCTGGGATCCCAAAGAAGCAGGCTCTAATGCCAATGAAGGAATGGACTTGCTAGAAAGAGCAAGCAGGCAAAGAGAGCAAGCTGTCTTCCTCTATGTCCTTTATATAGGCTTCAGAAAGGTGTGACCCAGATTAAAGGTGGGTCTTTCCACTTCAAATAATTAAGAAAATAATCCCTCACAGGTGTACCCAGCCTCTTGGGTTCTCGTTAATTCCAGAGGTAGCCAATCCCCCTCTCTCCCAAGACAGGGTTTCTCTGTGTAGCCTTTGCTATTCTGGACTCGCACTGTGGACCAGGCTGGCTTCAAAGTCACAGAGATCTGCCTGCCTCTACCTCCCTGAATGCTGAAATTACAGATGTGCACCACTGTGCCCGGCTGAGAGGTAGTCAAGGTAACAATGAAAGATAACCATTCAGTGCTGTAGTTACCATAAATGGATCAGGCAGCTTTCCAAGGACGATAAGGCTCAGGCAGAGCAGTGGCGTGTCCATTTAGAAATGGTAGTTCTGCTTTTCCCAGCCATCGTCCAAGTGCTCAAACAGGAACCCAAGCTCTCCTCCAGCTACAGGGTAGAAAGGGGCCATGGTGGCAACCATCATGACCCTCTTTGAACTTCAGTTTCTTTATGGGTGCGGAGTCTACACATTACTGTACTGTTTCCTCTGTGCAGCTGCTTCTCTGTGTTTTTGTAGCAAGGCCAGGGGAGACCCAGAGACTGGAGCATAGGGCTAGACACTTGTGGTGCCTCGATAGTGATGTCGGTCCAAGCCTATGACTGTCACTCACAGAGGCGCTGGCTGCAATGGGTGGGAAATGAATAAAGCAAAGTACAACTTCCCAGCAACGTGAGCGGTTTGTGAAGCTCTGCCTTAGAACGCTCATGCCGCCAAGCCTGGGCTGTCTCTCGGTTGTGGGCTCCTCCTTCTTGGAAGCTTAGAGGTCTCCCTGGTTCTCCAATATGCCTCATAGCAGATGGGGCCAGGAGCCGCAGGCGTGGGAAGGGCGTCTGCAGCCAGGTCGTCACCGGGTGAAAAGGCGATGAACACCAAGCACGCTAACATTAGCAGCCCGGGTTTCCATCTTCCATTCCCATCTGTATCACTGCCAGCACCAGGGTCACCTGTGTCTTCTCCCTGGCCTGACCCCTGGAGGTGATCCAAATCCCACTCAGGTAAGCATTCCAGGGGCGCAGCCCACCCACCACCCATCTGCCCGAGGCAGCATTTTGACCCTGCTAAGCTGATGGGAGCCCATTTTCCTGCAGTGGGATGTCTTTCTGTGAAGATGGCAAATTCCTGAGCAGAGCTGTTTGAGCTGGCCCTTGAGATGAGCCTCCTCTTCTGAGTGCTGGGGTCATAGGCGGAGCCATCCCCAGCTTCGTCTGACGTCATCTTCTCTGTTGCCTGCAGTATGCCTGGGTGGAGAAGCACCTTGGCCCCGACTTCCTGGAGCAAATCGTGTTGACCAGAGACAAGACTGTGGTCTCTGCCGACCTTCTCATAGATGACCGGCCGGACATCACAGGCAAGTGGCCTACAGCAGGGGGAGGGTGGGTAGCCCTAGTTTCATTCTCCCTTCTCCCAAGGACCTCCCCCCTGGGTCTCCTCAGCCCACTTGCCACCATTACCAGGTGTTTATCAGTACCAGCCAGGCACGTCTTCTGTTGGAAAGCCCTGTCCGCACCCTAAGGACCGGGTGTGACTGGAAGCCAGGAAGTCTGTACCTTATCCAGATTGAGTTTAGCCTGTTGGTTTCCCTGAGGCAAGTGAAGACTCAGCTTCGGCTCTCAAACCTTTAGGTTTAGTAGTTTGCCACCCTCTTTTCCCTCTCCAGGGCAGTTTGGGATACGTCTGCTATATAACAGGAAACCACAGTATGGTGCCTCTGACTGGCAGTGGCTTGGGCATTGTATTTGTCCTTTTTTGGTTCCAGCTGATGACCCCTTCCCAGAAAACAAGCAAACCAGTAACTTGGCCCACTTAGCTGACAAGTCAGGGGAAGAGGGAGGGCTTCAGGCATGGTGGGATTTAGGAGTTCTGTCAGTCAGTCCACACGGTTTCCTGCCTCCTGGGTGTGTTCTGCCTGGCTCTCCTTCCCTGCGCAAAACCTCCTGGTAGCTCTTTCGAGTTGCAGATCAGTTTGTTCTGGACACATCGGGAGGAAAACACAGCTTCCTCCCGAAAACTTGCTGGACGCCAGGGGAAACATGCCCGTCTGCCCCAGTCCCTCCAGAAGGACAGTCAGTCTGTCTGTGTGGATGGGGCTAGCCTCTCTCATAACACAGCCTTCCAGAGGCTTAGGATGATGTGACCCAGGGCCTTCAGTCGAGGGAGCTAGGTCACAGCCCCTAGGAGCTTATCCAGCTGCAGCACAGCTGCACAGTGTGGAAGAGTGGTACCGGCAACCTCGGGGCTTGCTGGCCTGGGCTTCCCACTTGAGGCGGCACGGGAGGGGCATAGAGGCGGCCGACGCAGTGGTGGGCGAGGACAAAGCCCCCCAGCTTCTGTGGGCTGCTTCGGGTGTGCTGCACTCTGCACAGTTGCAGAGAACCTTGTTTTGCCCTCACGCCTTCTGGAAGGCGGGCTAATAGAGCATCGCTGTGCAAACAAAGACACCGAGGCAGGTGAGCACCACACCTGCGGGTGACTTGGTCCCAGAAGGCTACACCTGGGCCCCAGGCTCTGACCTGAGCTGCTGCTTCTCTCCACAGGGGCTGAGCCGCACCCCAGCTGGGAGCACATCCTCTTCACTGCCTGCCACAACTACCACCTGCAGCTGCAGCCCCCTCGCCGTAGGCTGCACTCGTGGGCAGATGACTGGAAGGCCATCTTGGACAGCAAGCGGCCCCACTGAGGCCTGTGCTTTGGCTCTCCCGTGGTCCAGCATGGGGCTTGCAGCTCATGACTGGATAGCCAACAGCCCACTGAAGGCTGTGCTGCAGTTCCTTGATACTTCCTGGAGGACCCCAACAAACACTTTGGTCAAAACAACCTCTTGACCCACTTCCTTAGCCCACCAAGGCCTTAACCTGATATGGGGGCTAGAAGAAAGGCATATGCTCCCAGGCAACTTGGTCTGACCTCAGGCAGTGGCCCAGTGCCCCTCCCTCTCACTGCATACAATAGGGGTGTTCTCTAAGGGGTCCCCCGGCCCAGGATCTGCAAGGTGAGGCGTGTCAAGGACAGATGACAGATTCCCCTGGCAGGTATGTGCCCTTCCACCTCTACCGTGGAATCTGGTCCAACTTACCCACTTAGTCTGTTCTGGCTTCCCAAGGCCACCAGGAACTTTTGGAGTCCAACAGTGACCCTGCCTATGGCCAGTGCTGTGCTCTCTTACCCTGGTGTCCCTAGATCCCATTCACAGTGCAGAAAGGAGTCAGCAGGCCTGAACATTTGTTTGACAACAGGAGGAATAAATGCTATTCACATATAGCCTGTGCTGTGGCCTTCTCTAGAACCTGCCCCAGTGTCGTCTGCTTGTGATAGAAGCATGTGGAAGTCCCACACACTGATAGACAGGACAGAGGTGGCTATAGCTCTCCTATGTGTTCCTCACATGATACCATGAGGGGGCAAAGGCAAGATGGCCTGGGTGGTGGCGTTGCCGGCAGCCTGATGGTTTCCTTTGGGCCCAATCATCTGAGGGCGGTACTGCTTCTCTCAAGCATCCCCCCTCCCCCCCCCAAAAAAAAACAAAAAACAAAAAAACAAAACCTTACCCATGTTCTCCTAGCCCTGCAGGCAGGCACAGGGCCCATTCTCTACTCTTCTCCATAAGACCTAGAAACTGCTGTTACAGCCTCAGCATTTGTCCCCTTTGAGACAAACCCCTGAGAGGTGACATCTGACCAGTTTCCTTCCAACTGTCCTCTTAAGAACTAGGAAACCAGTGCCCTTGAAGGCCAGTTTCATTCCCAAAACCCTGATCTGAGATGGGCAGAGCATGCACACACCTGTCTCCCCTGCACTTAGGTGGAGGCAGGACCAACCTCCTGCTCAGGGATTTTCTGGTCCCTGGAGCCCTTCATGGAGAGGCCTAGCATCCAGTCTCTACTAGCCCTGTTTGCACTACGGATGCTGAGAGCAGTGTCTGACCAACCCCACCGTGACCTAGGAGGGCCAGGAGTCCCTCTTCACCAGTTAGGGACACTCAGGAGAGGCACCCTTAGGCAAACTCCTTTATGGCTGAAGCTTTTAAGGCAAATGGTGTGCCCTGCCTGGGGGTCTAGTGGCTCTAACTAGGAGGCCCGAGCCTCATGTCTGTCCTCACAGAGCCATGGTAAGAGCTATGCTCTGGATCCTTCCAGAGTTGCCCAGCCCTGAAACTCAGGCGTCAGTGGTTGCATTTATGTGCTGGGATTCTGTATCCAAGGAGCACTGTGGCTGGAACCATCTCATTAGTGTGATAGGGGAGGATTTGCCAGTGAGATGCCGAGACTGGCTCATCAGACAAGCAGCCATGCCTGAGAACTGGACAGAAGCAGAAGCACTCGGGCTTTTGGAGAGGCTGAGAGCCATGGTCCAGGATGGCCCTGTACAGCAGTGTTACAGATTGGGGTGGGGTGAGCAGAGACGGGGCCAGGGAGATGTGCTGTCTGCCCTGGGTACTCAGGCATGAGGGTGCCCTGCCTGGGAAGGGAATGGAATTGTATTAGGATTTTCTAGAGAACCAGAACTGATAGGTGTAGGGGTGTGTGTGTGTATGTGTGTGTGTGTGTGTGTGTGTGTGTGTATACACATATACATATATAAAGGGGATTTATCAGAATAGCTTACAGACCATGGTCCATCTTGTCCAAAAGTGACTGTCTCCCTATGTAAAGGCCAAGAATCTGGTAGTTGTTCACTCCATAAGGATGTCTCATCTGGTCTCCAGCCTGTGTTGGGATCCCAAAGAAGTCAGTTTTACAGGCTGCACCAAAAGGTATGGCCCAGACTTGGTGTGGGTCTTCATACCTCAGATGAGGCAGTCAAGAAGTATCCCTTAAAGGTGTGGCCAGCTGTTTAGGATTTAATTGATTCCAGATGTAATAAGTTGACAACCAAGATTAGACATCACAAATCCACCCCTTCTCAAATTGACAACAATCACATCTCCTTACGTCATGCTTAATTTTCAAATGAAAATGATGACCAGGTCATAATCACACCTAACATGGTATAACTATCCCAGGTGCAAACACAAGTGTGTTATATATTTAAAATAGGTGGTAATGTCCCTCGAGGGACATTCCTTTAATGTCTCATGGCTTAAGTGTAACGACTGACATTACATTATATGATAAACTGAGGGAAGAATACACACATACATGTATATGTGCACAAACGAAACAGAGAAACACTCATCAATTTCTGCAACTGGTCATATGGCCTTAGCTCTTATTTATAACCATTTTCTTCTGCTATCAATTCTGTATTTCCTCCACAAATCAGCAAAACACCTCTTATCCTGGAGGAGTGGCCCATACCTTCTTTCCTGAAGGATCTGGACCCTTTGCCCTCCTGCTGGGTTTGGGTTGTTTTAGTTTCCCATTGACTCTAACCACAGCACATGGTAGCTCCAAGAGCTGCTCTAAAGGAGCTTCTGCACTCCAGACATAATCTTTTAATCTCCACTGTGGAGCAGCAGTCCAATTTCTCCATGCTAATCTGAATCAACCACTCCTAAAGCTGTTATCCCTTTCTTAGCCTGTTGGCTTGAAAGCATAAACAGCCTTAAGTGGCTTCCAGTTCAAGGGCACGGCTGTGACTCCCCCTTGTGGAACCCAGACTTCTAGGCCAGCAGGACAGAGAAGCAAAACTTGTCTTAGTGGGTCACCGGGGGTGACAGTGAGTAGAACCATTCCTCTTTCCACCCCTTGATTCCTGGACCCATGAGTCCTGGCTATGGGGGGAAAATGCCTTGTTTTGGACATCAATTCAAAGCATATACCACTTTCTGGAGAACTCTACCCCAGGCCTCCAGGATTCCGGCACCTAATTGGTTCTCTTAACTGTGTCCTCAAAAAATCACTCCTTCATTCTGTCAGCTGCTTCAGGATGGGGAGGAACATGGTGAGACCAGTGGATTCTGTGACCGTGGGCCCAGTGTAGCACTTCAACTGTGAAGTGAGTTCCTTGGTCAGAAACAATACTGTCTAGATACCATGACAATGGATACTGCATTCTGTAGGTCCATAAATGGTAGTTTTGGCAGAAATATTATGTATAAGAGAGGCAAACCCATAACCAGAGTAAGTATCCACTCCAGAAAGGACAAAGTCTTTGTTCTTCCCACAAAGGAAGTCAGCCAATGTAGCCAACCTGACCTCAGGTCACTGACCCCAAGGAATGGTGCCATACCGGGGGCCCATGAAGCTATAGGTGCATGCATGGAAGCAGAGAGCAGCGTAGCAGGAGTAGACATTTGGACAACTTAGTCATACAACCTGCTTGTACCCTCAGGACCTGCTCAGGCCCGATCATATGTACACACTTCCATTTGGTAATGGATTGCTGCTGTGCCCATTCTACTTTATGACTTGGTGCTGCAAATAACACCCAGGTCATAATGGCACCTCAGGTCATATGGTAGCTTAGTGGCCCACTGTTAAACGTTCAGTTTCCACTAAGGCCCGATAGCAGGCCAAGAGCTGTCTCTCAAAGGGAGAATAGTTGTCTGCAGATGATGGTAGAACCTTGCTCCAAAATCCCATGAGTCTCCTGATTTACCCAAAGGGAGCAGCCAAAGGTTCCAAATAGCATCCCTGCCTGCCGACACCTCAGGTACCATGAGATCTGCTGGACCATATAGTCCTAGTGGTATTGGAGTCTGCCTAGAAACCTGTAGTGTCTGGGAAGCCTTCTCCTGGCCAAGGCCCCACTCAGAGCTAGCAGCCTTCTGGGTCACTTGGTGTAAGGGTAACACACCCAAGTGAGGAATGTGCTGTTACAGAACCCAAGTGGGCCCACCGAGGACTGTGTTGCTTTCTTGGTGATGGTGCAGAAACCTCCCCCTCCCCTTAGAAGGACCATGCCCCACGCCACTAGGGGGAAGAAGGGCCTGGCATTTTGCTGGATTTATTTCCCATCCTCTAATACAAGTATGTGTTACAAGTCCAAGGTGGTTGATGCCTCCTGCTCATATGGTACAGTTGGCATCCACTTTCTCTCCCATGCCCTACCTGCGCCTCCTTTTATAAAATGACTCTTAAGGATAAAAATGCACGGAAACCATGTGCATATTAATATATATTAATCCCAGTGATGTATCTGCTGTTTGGTTGAAAAAAAAAATCATTGATTAGACTTGCTGTAGCTGGCTTGAATGTACAGACTGGGATTCACAGGCGGCCATCAACAGTTAGGCAACTCAGAACTTGAAGAATGGCTCCACAGGGGGGCTGTGGTCTTAATGGAAAGTCCAAGAATCTCTTAATTCTGCAGCTGGGCAAATTCTAGTGGGTCTCAAACTGTGGGTGTTGATCCGTATCAGATATTTGCATTATGATTCATAAGTAGCAAAATCACAGCCATGAGGTAGCAACATAATAATTAATTGTATGGTGTGTGGTGTGTGTGTGGGGGGGGGGGGGGAGGTCACCACAACCTGAGGAACTGTTTTAAAGCATTAGGAAGGTTGAGAACCGTCGAGTGAAACAAATCCGATAGCGGAACTGCAGTTCATAGAAATGACCACTTGATGGCAACAGAGGACCAGTTCTGGGACCTTGGAGCCCTTTCTGCCTTCCTGGAGCCTGTATTCTTCCCTGGACCAGACCTGCCCACTCTTGGAAGTCTCCTCCTACTGTTCCCAACCACTGGCATTTCTCTCTGACCTACGCACCCTCTGGGCAGGGTCTGAGGACCTCAACCACTGTTGTCCGAGCACTGGGATATGAAACACATCAGCTCTTAATCCTGGCCAAGATGAGCTGGGCACTGTGGTGCAGGGTTCTGCTTTTCTTCTCCACCAGCCCCAGGCTACTCCATCCTCAGGCCCTGCCAGTAGTCTTCCTCCAGAGTCCCAGCCTTCTGATAACTCACAGTACTAACTACGGACTCCAGGGGGAGGAGGAGCTATCTAATGTGAGGTAAGGAGAGTCTAGGGCAAAGGACAGAAGGCCCGGGCGCTTCCTGAGCATATGCCATGTGCTGTGATATCATTAATTTTTCCGAGTCACTATGAGGCAAGGATAAGCTTGTCTGGGTTTAATTTTGTGGAAACTGATGTGGAGATAGCGGAGCCCAGGTTTAGCTGAGCCAAGCTCAGCATCTCAAGGTTGTAGGCATGTAGCCCAGAGCACTGACAAACAGGGATCAAAAGATAGAACATGAGCCAGGAGAGTGGGCTCCGTTCTTAGGGACACTTGCCTCTTAGGGCTACAATTGCTGTGAGGAAGCACCATGACCAAAGCAACTTGGGGAGGAAAGGGTTTATTTGGCTTTTACAT